CGGCATAAGAAATATCGAAACATCAAACTTACAGTCGAAGATGCCCAGGTTTCAAGATGAGAACACATGGAAAATTCTTACTGATGTACCGCCGAAGATGTTCTCACTGGTGCGCGAGGCCCTTGCGCTTCGTCAGCGGATTGTAGTTGTTCGCCAGTCCTTGGCCTTCCTCCAACGTTGCAAGAAGACAAATGTTTTACCGAAGTTCATTTCAATGAAGAAAATTGGAAAGACCTGTGGATTACCAGAAAATGATAAGAAGATAGTCAATATTTACCGCAACATCTTGAATGTTGTTATCAAGAAGAAGAAGACAGTGTTGTATTCCACATTGTTGAAGTGTAACTATAAGGAAATGCATTGTAAACGTCTTTTGCATGAAGAACTTTGGAGGAGAATTGAACAAGGATCGAAGTCAATCTGTGGCGCTGTGCGGTCTAAGATCAAATCGGGACTCTGCAAAAAGTACGACGGACTCTTGGACGCACTGCATGGTGAACATGCGAACGATGAGGTTTGTCGCCTTCAAAACCACCACTTTACTGACTCGACAGCTACCAATGAGGTTTTTGGGAGGGTCACTACTATTGGCAACATTCATTTGTCTGCGCATGCTACCGAGTTCCTCAGTCTCGGTCCATCTTTCTCGATATCGCAAAGCATAAATGCATCATTCTGCCGTAAAGTCTTGGGTAATTTACATAGAGTGCGTGATTCGCTGAGATTGAAAGCTAAGCTTGAAAACACCCAGACTATTGCAACGGAGAAACCAGTACTGCCAATAATACCGTTTCCTCGCTTATCATATAGAGAACCCGAACCCATGCTCGCGCCTGATACAAAGTTCCGCATTCTTTCTACTGAGATTTTACATGTTCTTAACAAATTCAGGGGAGTTCATCAGACAAACCTGACACGTGAACAATGGAGAGGTTACAAAGAGATGCGCGATATGTTAGCCAAAGGATCTATCCGGTTATCGATAAGCGACAAAGGCGGAGAATTCGTAGTGATGCCCAAAAGTCTAGATAGAGAGATTGCACAGTTGCATCTTTCTGATACGACGATTTACCAACATGCTACCTCCAGAGATTTTCAGTCACAGTGCAAAAGGTTGAACGAGGTTTGGATTAATGTCAGTAGATCAGCAGGGTTTGATGATAATTTCGTGAAGAGACTGAAAGTGAACAATCCAAACTGTCCCGTATTCTATCACTTGCTGAAAACCCATAAAGTAGCGGCTCACGAGACCAGCTCCATGTCGCCAGAAACGTACAAGATTCGCCCCATTATAAGCTGCGTAGGTGGTCCCACCGACCGAATATCGTGGTTTTAAACAAAATCTTAAGCCAATTGCTCACAAAGGTTCCAGCGCACTTGTCTAACACACGTCAATTCATTGAGCAGCTACAACAGCTGAAACATGAGCCAAACAGTGTCATAGAATCGTTTGATGTAACATCTCTATACACTAACGTCCAAGTTGATGCTGCATTGCAAGCGCTCTCGGAAATGTTGGACAAGTATTACTCTAACATCAACACCTTTGGTTTGAGCATAAATTGCATACTGGTTCTAGTCAGAGAATGCCTCAAGTGTAACATATTCAAATGGTCTGGAAATTACTACTCTCAAGTCAGAGGACTCGCAATGGGCCAAAGACTTGCTCCAGTCATCGCAATATGTTACATGAGTAAGATCGAAGAACCAGTACTCGCACGCTTACCAATGATGTACTGCCGATACATCGATGATTGCTGTATCGTAACCTCAACACAATCCGAAATGGATGAGTGTTTTCGAATTTTAAATCAGCAATCACAGTACATCCGGCTTACACGTGAAAAACCTCGCGGTGGATGGCTTTCCTTTCTGAATACACAGGTCAGCTTATGTGACAATACCGTTCGCATAAAATGGTACAGAAAGGAAAGCTCTAGAAACATCCTCTTACACGCTACGTCAGCTCACCCCTCAGCAGTTAAACATGCTGTTATACATAACATGTTCAAAACTGCTACCGAAATGTGTACAGGCGATGACGAGCGACGAGAGTCACGACAATTGGCGGCTGATATTGCACTCAGTAATGGCTATATGCTTGGAACAGGACGATCACGTAAAAGACAGTCTAACTGTTGTGAATGTGTTAGTCTTACGGAGCGCAACAAGAACAACAAAATTCCTTTGTGCATACCCTTTGTTTCCGATAGAATCAGCCAGGCCATGAGACAATGCATTCTGCGAGCACAGTTGCAAAATGAAGTCATGCTGATTGACATTCCTAGCGATAATATCAAAAGGCGGTTGGTCAGAAATAGAGTTTATGATGTTGAATGTGTATCAAAGAACTGCATAGTCTGTCCTAACGGGAAAATTGGGGACTGCGCCAAATCCGGGACTGTCTACCAATTAGAATGCTTGAGTTGCAGAACAGCGTACATTGGAGAGACGGGTAGACCTCTGAGTACTAGAGTGAACGAGCATTTGGCCAACATGAGGCGAGGAATTCTATTGTCTCCGTTAGGCAAGCATAAATTTGAAGAGCACGGCGGCAATGATTTTAGCGTTAAATGTGTCATCCTAGCGTTTGAGACTGACATTCAAGCACGAAAAACCCTTGAAGCGGCGTGGATATACTCTCGTAATCCGAGTATGAACAACAGAAATGAATGTCTGACGATAACGAGTGATCTACTACCACTGATATCATTGTGTGAGCTCGATACCGCACACTATAAGTAGCAGGACTCACTGGGCACAACTCAGTGATGTCCGTCACACTGATCTAGTGCGGACTACTGACTCTTTGGTGGACCGAAGGTTCGTTTGCCCTCGTTTGATGTTCCCAGTACGTTGCGTCTGAGAAAACGTCAAGCAAAGCGGACTCAGACGAGATGTTTGGCGGCACAGTACAACGGGTACGTAAACTACAATCCTTTTCAGACCTCCGACGAAGACGAGTTGTTCGAAACGTTAGGTCGATAAAGATCCACCATACCAACCTGTGCGGCATAAGAAATATCGAAACATCAAACTTACAGTCGAAGATGCCCAGGTTTCAAGATGAGAACACATGGAAAATATAGCTGAGTGTTTCTATCATACATGCCAAGGCAAGAGAGTATAATAAATCCGGAATTGACGAGTTTTGCGTTATTTGTTCACTAATTTTTGCACCTTCTTCGCAAATGTGTTACGTGTGGCTTGTAAATAAATCAGCACAATAAAGCTCTCTAACAAGGAAACGATACTCAATGTCCGTGGCCTTTCGAAACGTGATTCATACCATTACACTCGTCTTCGAACGCTGATTCCGAATCTGCCTTCCGTTTCTGCTAATCGTTTCTCTGAAAGAAGTTATGGGGGAATTTCGCGCCAAGTTTGGCTGCTCAAAGGAAATATGGTCATTGGAACGGCTTGTACCGCGGCCACTTTCTGGTCTGGTGGTTAGTGCAATAGCCTTATAAGTTGATGCAGGTGTAGGTTCAAAGCCTTTTGTATTTTTACTTTTGCGTTACCTCAATTAAGCTTGTTCGAGAAAATCTACTCGAGCTATGTTCATTGGATACAATTTAGCGCAAATAGTAATCATTTTTTCCAAATTTCCACATTTTTTGAAGAGTAAGGGCGTTCACTTAGCTCGATGATGCAAAAGAAGGTTAATTGAGGCAATGCAAAACTGAAAAACACAAAAGGATTCGAACCTGCAACTGCGTCAACTTCATGGGGCTATCGCACTAACCACTAGACCACAGTGCACCGGTAGCGCTGGCGCTCCGACCATATTTCACTAGGCAGCCACAATCCGCGCGATCCACTATAACATTTTTGAAGCGATTAGCAGAAACGGAAGTCAGATTCGGAATCAGTGTTCCCAGACGACTAAAATGGTATACATATCATATCAAAAGGCCACGGACACCGAGTATCGTTTCCTTGTAAGCAATACGCGTTGCTTATTAACTCGAAGAGATCGCTATTGACCAAAGCATTCAAGGAGCTCTACAGACTTGATGTCGTCTTTCCAAGAGCAAAACTGAACCAGTGGAGGGGGGAGGGAAGAGAGGTTGAAGGCGAAGCCCGGAAAAATCTGATAAATGCACTTTGAAACGCATTTCGTTATAACAGCACAGGCAATCTGTTATTTCAGTCCATGGCTTCCTAACATGATTGGCATCAAAGGGGTTTCTTACAAACGATAAGGAAAAGTATTTGTTTAGATCTTTATGACGTTAGCATAACAGTGAGAAATGTATTCACATGCAAGAGATATGGTAGAAAACAATAAAACAATAAAAGCACTAAAAATACTTATCAAGATACTTAGCATACTTTCGTCTAAAATTATAAATTGTAGATGCTCTGACAAAATTGGCGAAGGACCGTTTTATGTCGCCGGCCACTGCCACTTGATCGTAACGCATGCTGAAAGAATACGGTGTACTAATAAATGGCTGCAGATTCATTTGACACTTTATTAACGTGCCTGCTTATTTACTATTAGGAATCATGATTTCTCTCACTTAGACATTTGGTAGAAGACCAAATGACCATGGTTTTTTTTCTATATAAAAATTTAGACTGGATGATCAATTCTGCAGATTTCCTTCTGCGTCGCTAGGTCTGACATCCACCGTAAACTTAACCCAAATTTTGCTTTTCCTCAAAGATGCCCTATCGGAATTTTTGATAAATAGTTGTAGTGCAGAAGTAACGTAAATGTCCGAAAATCTCATTTCCATCACCTCAACATTTGTAGTGCAAAAAACTTCTAAAGGTTTTTCACAACCCCAGATTATTATTTCTACTTAGTTGAAGAATCGCAAATTACAGCGCTTATGCAAATTCATAATGCAGGTTGATCAAGAATTCAAAATTTGACCACCAAACAACATTCGATTTATACATTCATTCATTCATATAGTCTCAATTCACCACATTTCTGAAAACGCAGGCTACCTGAACTTTTTAAGGTAGCAGAGATAAATTAATGATACCTACTTTTGCGCACACTTTTGTCGACAGAGTACACCCTCGTTCCAGTAAAATTTAGCACATTTGTAACCACATAAAAGGCTGTGTACCTTAAATCAGAGTTATTTTGGAAGAATATATTGAACAATTAATCACAAAAATTTTCTAGAGCGTTTTGTCTTTTTCACCATTATTACCTTAGGAAGATCGAATTCTGCGAAAACCGACGAAACAGCAAATATAGACCGTCCTCTCATTTCGATTATATGAAGTAAATCGGCCATGTGAGCATATATGCCTTAAAAAAGGAGAAAATTTCCTTTTTAGACAGACACGTAGATTATTGTGCGCTCACCTGACGATTTGTTAAATGGCGCTTCTCGATGTACAAATGCCGCACATTCGCCTTCAGCGCACCATTTGTCCGAGTTCTCACGCAGATCCGGAGTTCGAATGTACTATATTATGGTCACAATCTAACTGACTGACAAAATTAGAATCACCTACACTTTCATTGATCAAATGATGAAGGATGGCTGCACTTGCTGAAGAATTAGCCATAAATAGAGCCATGTTTTCTTCAAAGCGGAGATTCCTAATAAAATTATGGATACTCGGAAAATCACTTTATGCAATTAATCGCACTTGTAGATTGTGTCGGGCAAGTCAAAGGAAGCTTGGAAATCTTGTTCCGATGGTATTCGCACGTCCAGCTTTTTGCGAAAAATTTGTGGCATTTTTATCTAAATAAGCTTCAAACTGAATTACCCTTTGATTCAACTGGCTTGGCGGCTGGAAGGCGGGGCTTCGTTACCTAATTAGAGCCAGGAGATGATCAGAGAGCACTTGCGCGAGAAAGACGCAGACTGCGTCGAGGGCGCGAGTGGCCTCAATTAGTTCACAAAGCCCCGCCTTCCAGCCGCCAAGCCACTTGAATCAAAGGTTGAATCTATGGTAACACGTCTACCATAAGGTGTAGCTACTGTAATACAAATAACATAAGTACTCTGTAAATATCCTTGACAGAAAAAATTGTAAAGGAAACAGCAAGGAATACCGATAATTTGGAAGGAGTTTTGTACTGATTATTTTAGAAATTTATCCTCGCAAGCGGAGAGGAAAACTGAATTTTGGTCACTGTTGCATGATATAACCCAAAAATTGCCGCACAATTGGCAGTAATAAAGTCGGTGTTCGACAAGCATAGAAAATGTTTCACAAAGTTGAGATATACGGACCTTTGAAAACACGAAAGTTTTTTCCCAAAAAGGAATAAAAACTTCGCCATCGCGTTTCATGTTAAAGAGCCAAGTATATACAGGGTGTCCCAAATCATACATTTTGGTCGTTAAAACTCTTTTGCATCAATGTTTTTTGCGCATTCTTTACCAATCTATAGAGCAGGCTTCTACTTAGATTTACAATATGGAACGGATATCCGCTCTTTCTTCTTTGTTGTAGGATTATGGCCAAAAAGCTGGAAAAGCTCCTAAGCCATTAAGCAATGCATTTTGCCTCATAAAAGAAGGCAGTTCAAAAGCCTAAACTAAACAAAGTTGCCGAAATCAAACATGAAGTTTGCACATCACATCATGCTTCGAAGTTATTCCAGAAAACGGTAAATACTGCTTTTCCAAGGTTTTCGAGAATGTGATTCCACTGCTATACTTAAAAATTTTGTAAAAAGTTTGTGATAAAATCAGCGTGCGCAAAAACCCTACTACACATTCTCCAAATTTTACTTATAAGCCTATCTCCAATGGTGCCATATGCTAAAATTTCCTACCGTAATTTGTATGCGCCCTGGTAATCGAGGAGTACCAAGTTTAACATTTAGAAAAAACCGAAAAAATGACATTTTTGCAATTTCAAGCCATTTTAATTTTCCAATTTTGAGCCCCGGAAAAAACACACCAAGTCCTATTTTTGGGTACTACAATGTGTCTTCTGTACAATGACCAAGTAGGAAGTCAGTAGAATTCTCTGGAAGGAGATCCGATTTTTAGGGTAATTGAGAATTTTTGATTTTTTGGATCCAAATTTTACATGATCACGCCTAAGACGGATCTTTGGTGGTCATTTTGTAGAGCTTGCTTTGCTCTGTCGAATGGTACCCTAAATCTGCTATGAAAATGAAACTTTGAATCATCTAGAAAGACCGCTTACTTTTGAAACAATCTGATAGATAGCTGCATCTGTTTGTTTTTCAATCCCTTTGTGTTAGTTACCTGCCTGAACAGATATAGTGGAAATTGGTGTCCCATAAAGAACATGTATACATCATCAGTAGCATTGATAGGCTCCTTTGCTGTGAGGATACAAGTGCAGTTGACCTAAATCAAGGAGAAATAATTAGGTGTATGGGACCTCTTTTCTGTATAATTTTACCAGAAATAAGAAGCGCATACCTCGAAATCTTCGATGGGCACGCAAGCATCGCGGTCGATCATGCATGGATTCAGTGATAGTACGAAACGGTGCGTAAGCCATAGAACAGCAAGGCCTCGTAAGCATGATAGCAGCATTGTGGTGTTATGATTATCATTTGCGTGGATATAAACTAATGATGCGTGAGTGTTTGGAAAGAGCAGACCGAAAAGCGTACGTATGAGGAAGGAGCAGAGATAAAGCTAGAAAATAGCTTGCGGTCCCCGTACATCACAAAAACCTCAGAAAGTGCTCCAGCTGATTCCAGATTTCCGTTCAAGAACTTACTAGAAAGGTTGTAAGCTTAGAAAAACATAGAAGTGAAAGAAAATATCTTCTAATCTCATGATTTTTTTTCGCTAAAATAATATCCAGGAGCCAACGAATGCGCAACGAATCTACGGTGATGCTAGCAGATAACTGTAGTGTATAATTGAATATCCGAAAGCGAAACAAAGCGCTAAAAGATGTTGGTAGAGGGTCGTAAGACACGGAATTTCCTGGTTGTCGTTAAAGAAAATTCTATCAAACTGGTTCAGAGCCTTTTGAAATTGGCAAAAGTAAGCAGGTTAGCAACTATCACGTGCCAAATCTAACTGCTTTTACTGAGCGCAGCGGACGATACTGAAGACTTTGTTAGGGTCATTTCAAAGGTACTTTAGATCTTAGTATTTGAACGGATTTATGCTATACCTGCTCAGAAACAATGTATCTAGAGATCCAACTTATTCTAAGTGTGTTTTGTTACTGTCTGCGCCTTGCGACATAACCCCGCTTCACCATTTTCAGTCGTTTTTCATTTTCTAGCCTAAAGAGACAGCAAGTATACCTATTATCTTTAGAGTTTTCACTAGGTTTGACTACGTGAGAGCTGAGAGCAAAATTGTCCGTGAATAAAATTCCCATCTTTTGAATCTATAATTTTAAACATTGCATCGTTCCTTAATTTTTCAGCAAAGTCGTGGTTTTGATCTTTGCTTTTTATAATATGTAAATTTTTAAGAATCTCATGAAAAATTGCGGTCATCTTGCAAATGATGCATCAAGCCTTTCCCTGAAGCTTCTGGCCACTCGTTCAACAACAAAGGCAAATGCAAACAAATTTCACATCTCGGACACACCTTCACGAATAGCCAACGTAGGCTGAAAGCGATTTTTATGCCTATGTTTGCGTATTTCACTTTCCTTTGATTTTTTCAAACACCTACTTTTATTTTCTTGCGGAAAGAAATGATTGGCTCTTTTGCAGGTGTTTATGAAAATGGATAGTCGGCCTCTGCTACTGGCTACCATTATCCATTTTGTGGTAAAAGCATGCCCTCCACAACAAGGAACGTGCTACTCAGGTGAAGACATTTTTTTTGTAGACTGGAAAAACAAAGGTTTGGCTGGCTTTTACCAATATCAATTAAGCTGCTCTGCCGTTCTTCGCTTGTTTCCATTTTTTGTGTCAGTAGTAGCACAAGATTATTGACGAAAACAACAAATTCAGCCAACAGTGACTTAACTACAGTCTAACTTGAAAACGTCATTTCATCTGTCGCAGTAATATTCAAGGATAGATGGGGTTTTGCTGAACGTACCGTCTGGATTTTTCGCGAACATTAGAGCCTTCGAAACGTTATCGCCATCTAAAGAGAACATTTTTCGTGGATCGAAGCACATAAGCATTTTACTGATCACCCAGCATGATGCTCTTTATCACGAAATGCATTAAATTTGGCATCGTTCGCATTCTAACAAAATTCTCAGAGGATCACTTCTGAAAACTGGCAATCTACAGGCAACACCTCACGCTTTCCTCTATTTTCTTTTCGTCTTCGGAGACGTTTTTCTCCCAACATTCCCTAAAGATTCGAATACAATTCTTTCCTCTCTTTCTCTTTTCTGCTTATGGAACTTCCGTTCTGGATCAATCATGATGTTCTTCCACAATTTCTGCACCTCTCTGTTTCCAATCTTTGGCACTCCCACATTTTCATGCTTTTGGAAATCATTACGTACATCATGATGCATAATATTCCGTGGTCCATGATTTATTAACTCCTACGCTACAAGTTTGTAAAAGGGGGCGTGGCAGCAACAACGCGAATGAAAAAATCTTTACAAGTAGTTCGAACTTTTGAAGAGATTCAAAGGATGTTTTTGATTATACAAGTATAGACAAGTCTTGCACATTTTCAAAGCCCATGTAAGTAATTCCAAAAGATTTCGCGACCCATTCTTCGAAGGGGGGGGGGGGGGAGATCCGAGACTGTCTAGTCCCAGGAGCGATAACTTCTCTAGATTTTTGAGCTCTCCATAAATGGTCCTTTCGTTTACTAGTGACGTGCACTACATGGCAAAAGTCTATATCAGCACTAGGTAAGAGGTTCTGCGAAAAGAATTTGGACATTCCATGCTGCCACTCATGTGATAAGATCGGCTATGGCCGCAATTCCCACGCATCGGTGGTTCAGTGGTAGAATGCTCGCCTGCCACGCGGGCGGCCCGGGTTCGATTCCCGGCCGATGCAAGTTTTGCTCTGCCATAAAACTGATTGTGAGTTGTCACACACTGTAAATGCAAATACCTCTTAACCAAATTAATTTTATGTATGCAAACCCGATCTTTATTTTCCTCACTTTAATGCTCTGGACGCTTTACATTACTTTACACTCAGCATGAGTCTCGACTCACGACTTTTGGCAGATCTTCATGGGGAGATTATTCTGAAGAAAAAAACCAAGACAAGTCTTCGTCTACGGTTGATACAATACCGCTCACATTTTTTGAAAAAAAGACGCGAATGTATGGACATGTATGGACATGTACGGACATGTCCATACATGTATGGACATGTCCGTACATGTATGGACATGTCCGTACATGTCCGTACATGTCCATACATGTATGGACATGTTCATACATCAGCGTCGCGTGGCCATATCTCGCTTCAGAGTGGACGAATTCTGAATCCAAGGCCACCGTTCGATTCAGCTCGGCGCGGAGAATCTTCTGATATATTGGATGGGGGTACGATGTTTTCGATATTCCGTTTCCAGTTTTTTCAATTTGTTCTGCGGAGGTCCTTTCGCGAATATATGAAGCAACGCCTACCCAACATAGAAGACTTTACTAAGTACTATTCGATAACACTGTTCTTGCAAATTATTGTGCGCTAAAAAATAGGCTCAGACTTCTTTCCAAAGGAGGTGAAAGCGTTGGTGAATTTTGGAAAAATCACGCGTTTCTAAATTCTACTCGCCATAACTTCCTTCGGAATAAGTATATTTTGAATCTGAAAACTGCGCCTTGCTCAGCTCATCAAGTCGAATCTTCCTACGTACAGTCGCGTAGATTTCCTGCTTAATATAGTGTCCCTGCAGACGCGACAACGCTGGGGCGTCAATAAATGCCTTGCGAGTTCCCCAGCTAATGTTTTCCAGTGTTTTCTTTGCTTATTTCATGCTTTTTAGTTGATTCGTTGCTGATAAAGAGGAAAAGGGTAAATTAAAGAGTAGTTTCTGTTTTCTTAGAAGTTCTATTATCGCATATTCACAGATATCCACGTGGAAACATTTCGCGTCAGCTTCATGTCTACTTTTTTTTGTCATTTCCTTTTCTTCTGTCACTTCTTCTTTCAAACCTCCTCCTTCTTGTGAGGCGTTTCTTTGAACGCTAGTTGGCTTGTCTTGCAGCAGCTTCGGCTTTCATCCATTTGAAATAGCATTTTGATCAAGTACTTCATGTGATAAAGACAATAAGTCAATCGTAAAAACCCATTAGCGTTCAAAGAAGTACCTCACAAGAAGAAAGAAACATGAAGTGGCAAAAAAATAGACAAGAAGCTGACGCGAACTGCTTCCACGTGGATATGTGTGAATATGCGATGATAGAACTTCTCAGAAAACAGAAATCTCTAACTTACCCTTTTCTCCTTTATCAGCAATGAATTACCTAAAAAGCATAGAATAAGCAAAGAAAACACTGGAAAACACTAGCTCGGGAACACGTCAGGCAATTATTGACGCCCCAGCGTTGTCGCGTCTGCAAGGACACTATATTAAGCAGGAAATCTACTCGACTGTACAGCAAGTCCTTGGTATTTCGATTTCAGTATTCTTGAATCTTTCTGAGGACGTCTTTTCGCGAAGATGTAATGCAGCGAACATTGTCCCGAGTACATTTCAGCAAAGATCTTTCGATAGCACTTTTTTTGTGGATTATGATGTGCTAAATAGTAGTCGCAGATTTCTTTTCAAAGGAAATAGAAGGGCTGGTGAATAGTGGAAAAATCTTGTCGTCCCAAATTCTACTCGCCATATCAGCAGGGTACGAAGCTATCTTGCTAAGCAGATGTAAGTTTCGAAATCAGCAGGTTGCATAACCTCTACGAGCAAGTTTTCCGATATGTTCGGGTCATTTCATTTTTTCTCGCTTTACGCTCCGGAAGCGCGCCGATGGATTTTGGTCAAAAAGTTGATGCTCTTGAATTGTAAGGAAACTTCGCTTATAGAGGTTTTCGAACACACTCTTTACGAAAATCGTGGTCTTTGAGGATTACAGGGTTTTTTTTTTGGAGAGATACGGTGAGGTGACTGTAACTTCATCACGAAAGTACGTAACTTTGGCCGCACTTCTCGCGTATCTGTCAGAAACCTTGCCTGCTTGCTTTTCTCAGTCAAAGTTACTAGGAAGTGTGCTATCAAATGGTGTATTACTCAGGCTCCAGTCTGTGAAATTCGCCGAGTTACGAGCCTACAAATACACGTCCTATGAATTTTGTCCAAAATGTAAAGATCGCATATTTCGTCGAAATTCCTCCGTGAGCGCTTGTATTAGGCTCGTTGCAGATATTATGTTCGCTTCGTTGAACGTCTCTCACTGCACTGAATATGGTGCTTGCGTCTGCTTCAGCTGCTCAACTGAATATCAAAGCTATTTCGTGGCTAGAGCCCAAAGCACCAAATCTAACACAATAAGATCCATTAAAAATATGGAAGGATTTGATCAGCGCATTGTATTAGGTCATTCGGATAGTTTTTTCCTTTTTGCGCCTTTGATGTTGATACCATATTTTAAGAGGGTGTCAGGGAGCTGTTAAGGGTTGCCATAT